TACAAAAAAAAATAAAAATAAAAATTATATTTCTAATCTGGGAACCATGAACTGGAAAATGATACTACTTTTTCTTCTTCAAAAGTCAGAATTTATTGTAAGAACTGTCAGGAACTAAAATACACATAAAGTGACCAAAATAGAAGTTACAAAAAGGTACCAGGTACTAACAGAACCGAAGGGGAGCTGAGAGAATGCTGAGAGGGTAGTGGGTGGTGGTCAGGCATGGCTTCTCTGGGGAAATTATCTGCAAAATGAAAATCTGAAAGCTCAGTAACAACTCACTAGGTGGAAACCAGAGAGAGAGAGAGAGAGAAGTGAGAAAGCAAGCCACCAGGTCTGGGACTCAAACCATGATCGGCCATGTATGGCCCTAGAACCTCAATCACCACGCCACCTGCTGGCCCCTACCCTTTATTCTTTATTATTATCATTTTAGCTTTTGCTATAGGGCAGGGAGAGGCAGAGAGAGAGAAAGTGAGATACTACCTCCTGGGAGGAGGAGTGGTCACACCATAATCTCCTTTTCCCCACTGTCCTTTCAGGATTTGGGGCACATACACACACACACAAGTGAGCAGCATGATTTTTCAAGCTGCCAGGTCTGAGACTCAAACCACACAGCTGGTCATGTGGGATCTAGACTCCTTAACCTGCTGGTCCTTTCCTCTCTATTAAAAAAATATGTATCTATCGCCTTCTTCCTCCCATAGCAAAAGAGAAAGACAAGGCACAGCACCCAACAGAGTCTTCATAATGCGACCGACCCCAGCTTCAGCCAGCCCTGGGTGATGGGCACAAGTGTGTTCAGGAAGGTCTCTGGGCATGAACACAGAACCTTCTCATGTGGCTCAGCTTCACAGAGTTTTGTGTTCAAGGGTATTTCCAGCTCTCATTCCCTTTACTCTTTGTTCATCTCTCTTAAGTAAATAGTAAACGGCACACTTAGAACGCTATAAAGAGTTTTATAATTGTTATTACTCTTATATACTGAAATACAGCTTATCATGTTTCATTTTAGACAGATATACAAAATAAAAACCTGTTATTTTATATAATTTGCTTTAAAAAATATTGACCAAGCCAGCCTGTGGTGTGGTGTTTGGGGCAGCTGAACTGCACATGGCCGGCCACTCAGTTAAAGTCTTGGACCTGGTGGCTTAAGAAACATCCTGGGCATGTTGTGTCCATGCTCAAAATCCTGACAAGAGGGAGAAGTGGAGGAGAAGGGATTGGGTGTGACCACGCTCCGTGATGGGGGTTGAGGGAGGCTGCCTTCTCACTTTTTCCATGTCTCTGCGTCTCTCTCCAGAAAGTGTACATGTCCTCTTGCAAATTGAAAGGGGGGGAAAAAGACAAAACTAAAAACTAACAATAAAAATACAGAACTAATCTTACTTTCTTAAGAATTCTTAGATCGGGAACCAGCAGTTGGCGTAATGGCTATGTCGCTGGACTCCCACGTAGTCGACCGCGGTTCGCATCCCGGACCCGGTGGCTTAAAACTCACGCCGGGCATGTGTGCGTACGTGCCCAAGATCCCGGGAGGAGAATGGAGGAGAACGGATTGCGGCGTGACCATCCCCTCTGGGGGGTGATTTCTCGCTTTCTGTCTCTGCGTCTCTCTCTGTCTGTCTGGCGAGCGCACGCGCCCTACAGCGAAAATCTCTCCAAAAAAAGAATTCTTAGATCCAGCTCAGCAGGTAAACACTGCATTGGGTGCTGGATCCTATATGGCTGACCATGGTTTGAGTCCCAGCTCCAGCAGCTTGGAAAATATGCTGGGCTGTGTATGAGTGTACGTACACACACCCCCAGAATCCTATGTGACGGAGAAATAGGAGGGAAGATTGTGGCATGACCATGCCCTACTCTGGGGCACTTTCTCTCTCTCTCATAAGCATACACACTCCGACAATAAGAAAGGGAAAAGGGAAGGAAGGAATCCTAGCTCTAATATTCTCTTACGATTTATTTACTAAAATGTTATACAGAGAGTCACAGACACCGGGATGCAGATGACCTCAAAGAGATCTGAATGTGGGACTGGTGGGGAGAAGGCAGGGGAACTGCAGCACTATTTGCAATGTTTTGTTCTGTTTAAAATGAAAGGTACAGATCCAAAGTACATTTGTCATTGCTGACAGATACTAGTTCTGGGTGGTGAGAGATGATTGCTGTATTGTTCTGTTTTATGATACTTCCATTTTTTTTCCCTAAAAGTCTCTGAAGCAGCAACTGAGACATAAAATGAATTAAATCAGAAATGATTTCAGCTGTCACTTTCATTTATTTTCTATTATTTTGCACTACACTCATACACATGATATTTTTTATTTAACCAAGTTCACTGCTTTGGGTAATTTATGTGTGAAACGAGTGACCTTTACTCAAAGCATCACCGCTGCTTGTTAGAGGAATGACTGATACTGCAGAAGGTGATGAGTCACTGGAGTGAGATTTCACTAAAGGCAAGACAAAGCTTTCTGCCTTTAGGTAGGAATAAATTATAGCTTCATACAAATGCACTTACTAATAAATCAAAGAGGAAATTAAGGGCAGTAAATCTATGACCCAAATGCAGACTAGTTTAATGGGATGCTTTTCAGAGATTTTCAAGGAGTGGCAGTAAATCCTTTTAGATTTGCAGCGAAATCCAAAATGCAATGTGGTGCTTAACCATCAGAACACAAGCCTTTGTATTTATTCTTCAGAGAGAATCTTTTTCTGCTTACATAAACCTCAGAGACAAGAGGTAAAGAGAATACTGAAGATTAAGAAAACTGACAATTACATTAAACATGAATGTTTTGCAAATAGAGGCAAAAGCTACTATGGCTATATTAATTCATTCAGATGATTAAAAGAAATAAAACACCGAATATGGCATTTTGTTCCAAAAAACTGTAGATTCGTATTTTTCTAAGAAGCTACTTTTGGATACCATCCTGACTTCTTATAGAATAATTCTGAAATACCTTACTAATTTAAGAAGTTTGAGTGTTAGAGGGGCAAGCTGGTGGCGTAGTGGTTAAGGGCGCTAGACTCCCACATGGCCAACCACGCATGGTTCAAGTCCTTGACTTGGTGGCTTGCTTTCTCATTCCCGCCCCCAACTCTGTCCCTCTCTGGTCAAATTAAAATAAATAAATAAACAAAATAAAGTTAAATCATTCTTTAAAAAAAAATGAAATATTAGAATCTATTCACATTCATTTAAAAATTATTATTTAATTACATTTGTTATTGTTATTTATTTTTAATTTGGCCAGACAGAGAGAAAGGGAAAGTAGGAAAGCAAGGGGCTAGGTCTGGAACGCACAACCACAGTCGGCCATGTGGGAATCTTGCACCCTTAATTACATGCCACCTGCTGACCCCTCTATTCTTATCCATTTTTCCATTGCTTCATTTAGACGCTCTTTTCTTTAATAACTTTCTATTAAATTGCTGGTTCAGGCAGCTGATAATTATTTTTTGTCACTGCTATTTGTTGACTATTTTAGTCAGAAGCTGTCTGGGCTCCACCCGTTGCATCAAGATAACTGACCGTTGTGTGTTCTGCCCAGTATCTATAGCATTGTCTCTACCAAACATCATGCTAGGCATGCACTGTATTAACTTCCAGCTAAATAGCATGTATGATTATTCTGGCATTGAGTAAGAGTTCAGGAAAAGAAAATACACTGTACTCTGTAAAGAATTAAAGTTGAAGGGTCACATGCTTTTTAAAATTTTTAATTTATTATTATGTTATTATTTAACCAGAGAGAGAAAAGGAAAGTAAGACAGCAAGCTATCAGGTCCAGCAGTCAAACCACAGTCGGCCATGTAAGAGTCCAGCACTTTAACCACCACACAATCTGCTGGCCCTGAAGGACTAAGTGCTTTAGAAATTTGTTCTTACAAAAAGCATTATCCTGTTCCCTCTTTGGAGCAAGCCCAAACTAGAAACCAGTTTCTGTAGTACAGAAATGCCAATAAAGGGTCCAGGGTGTGACCCCATTTCGCTCCTGGTGCAGATCAGAACGAAACACACAGCCTTCTACTGGGGAGGCAGCATGGCACGTGGGGAAAAAGAGGGAGCTAGGGAGTGGAAAGGATTTGGATTCAACCTCTGAGCCTCACTGTGTAACTTTGGGCGAGTTACTTAACCACCATGAAATAAGCATGTACGTGAAAATACTACAGATGAGGTACCTGGCAGAATCCACTAACACTATCTTCCTCTCTTTAGGGTGTCAGGTCATGATGTGGTCGTCCGTGTTTTTTGATTCCACCTCTAAATTACTAAAACATCTATCACACTATCTCAGTCCACACTAATCGCTTCTGAGGATACTGTGCCTAATCTCTAATTTGCTCACTTTGGAGTCCCCTAAATTATGTAATCTTAAATTGATTAAGGCCCAAAATATTATCTAGGCTGCCATGCAGAACACCTCCTAAGAATGATCTGAAAATCATGACCTACTTTATTTCTAAGAATCTCTACAGGAGACTTTTAATACCCACTGGTAACTCATTATATTGATTCAGATTCTGCACAAACTCCTACTAATGTCTAAATGATGCATTATGTTCCTTTCCACCTTTACGCTGGCTATGAAAATGACAAATTACGGGCCCATCATACAACAGTCTTCGATTTACGAAAACTGCAACCACACTCCTACCATATAAGGCAAAGTAATACCACTGTTCATCAAAGCATCTGTTTTAATTAATACAAACCCACAACCCAGCTTAATAGTAGGAAAATAAAACGGTCTCTGAGCGTTTGTGGTATACACTTGGGAGCTGTGAGAGTCCTATGTGAGTAACTTAACATCTCTGAGCTTCAGTTTCCACATCTACAAATGGAGGATGGTGTTACATTATTTACAGAATTATTTCAAAAATGAAATTGAATAATGTAGACATTCAAAATAGCATCACTATCATGTTAATGAAATCAAAGGAGGGCTAACAGCTAAGGAGAAGGAAAGGAAAACATATACCATGTTCACTGCATCTTGGTCAAAAGGGTTCCATTCTATGTTCTGAGGATAGTGGGCCAGAACTTTGGACTTGAATGTTCTTCTCAATGGACTCTGGTCAAAGTTTTCACCTACAACAAATAATAATAGGTTAAGATCTAGAACTTTTTCAAAAGCATGTTAAATTTTTAGATTTATCTTATTGACATATTTATTGATAATGTTGAAATCTGATTCAATTTTTTTCCTCAAAGAGTCTGAGTCATAAAATTCCCAAGGGACAAATAAAAAACTATTAATAAGATAAATATACATTTAAAAACTTTAGGATCTGAATTTTACAATTGTAGCTAGACAACTGATACTGAAAATCAAGATATGTTAATATAACTGTATGGATGTAACTTAATCATTGTCCTCATTTCAGTTTGTGATGATTAAAAAATCTATACAGAAATACTTTATTCACTAAAGAAACATTTTAAATTAAGTTAATTATGCTTTTTATGATCCTAAAATTTTATACATAGATAAGATCGATGCTGTAAGGTTCAAAGGAGGCAATTTTGTCTGAGTTACCACAAAAATTCCTGATAAATGTGACTGCATATCCGGGCTCTTAAGTAACAGACTTAACAGAATTTAAAACATAATTGCTAAACTGTCTAGTTTTGCAGACAGAACACATTAAACATCTTTTAAAAGAAAAGAACTTTTAGCCTTTTACAAGATGTAAGCAATTCCAAACCAAATTCATCGCTTGTCAAAATTCTGGGAAGATTCTGGAAAAACTCTGGCTCATATTTTATTATACATATAAGAAAATTCAAAAGCCATCAGATCAGTTCTTCATTTCCTTGACCAAATTAATTTCCATAAGCTTGTTATTTTCAAATGCTTTAATTTCATAAAATTTTTAATGTGGATGGATCTTAAATTTCCAGCGTCAAAATTTGGGACTGATGAATTAGAGCAATTTGGGGCAATTTCATTCTGTCTCCTATATTTCTACTTTTTAAGTTCTAATTAAGTGTAAAACATTAACTGTTACAGCAAAAGATAAATGCCGCTTACCAGTACAATTAAAAATATCACAAAGCAATTTGACTTATGAGTCACACTTCAACATCTTGTTAGACTCAGTTTCCATTTTGGGTAAAAATATGAAAAGATAGATACTAAAACACCTTTGAGTGTAAAATTTAACAGGTCACAGAAGGAGGGAAAAGTCACACTCTAAAATCGAGACTGCAATATGAAACACACAGAAGCTTTTTTGAATAAGGGCACAGAACTTAAATATATTTGATAAGGCAAATAAACTGCTGTTTCTAATCAAAGTCCTTGGCTAATGATCTTTTCCTCTATATTCCTCTGATTTATTTAGGTAATGACTTCATCTCTGTATCTTTCTATCAATACCACACACTTCCATTTTCTAAGAGATGAGAGCTTTCACCACTAAAACAGAAATGGTCAGGGCATCTTTCAGGAGTGTCTGTCGTATTCTGCGCTGCTCTCCCAGAGTCAATGTTTTCAGGGAAACATGAAACCGTCTATGAGAGTCCATGTGGCTGAAGAACAGTCAGAGTTCAAAATGGCTGACTGCAGGGTAGATGACATCTTTAAGATGATGTTACATTTTCATGAAAACACTAAGAGAATTTTTAGATTATTCATTTCTTTTCCTTTTCTTAAAGATGAGGTTTCGCCATGTCACCATCCTACTCCTTGAGCGTCCCAACTGGGACTAGATACACGCCACTGCACTGGGCCTTTGGGCTGGCAATTGAACTTAAACCTCCCATGTGGACAGAGCCTGTGGAGCCCACAGCCTTAGCAGTATGCACCACTGCAGCTGGGCCCACTAACGTTGTTATACAGAGGAGTAAGTCTGTTTTCCACTTCACTGCAGGTCTGAGAGGGGAAAAAAATCTCCTTCTGGTTCTAAAAGTCTGTGCTGCTGATGACTACTAACACAGCAGCAGGGTAAGCTCAGATAACATACAGGGTAAGAAACCCTCTACTCCGGGACCAGCAGTTGACATAATGGCTATGTTGCTGGACTCCCATGTAGTCAACGATGGTTCGAGTTCCGGACCCGGTGGCTTAACTCATGCCAGGAGCGTGTGCATGCGTGCCCAAGATCCCAAGAGGAGAATGGAGGAGAAGGGGTTGCATCATGGCCATGACCTGGGGGGTGATTTCTCGCTTTCTGTCTCTCTGTCTCTGTCTTTCTAGCGAGCACATACACCCTATAGAAAAACCTCTAAAAAGAAAGAAAAAAGAAACTTTCTCCTTCACCTGCCACCAAAGACTGGAAATACTTATTTTTATTATTCATAATATAAGTAAAATACAAAATCCTGAGAAGCAGTAAAAATAGCATATAACCCAGGAATCAAATCCCACTACACTTACCTTTTAATGAATTCCTGCCTGTGTATGGTTAAAACAGTAGCATTACCTTCATTCATATATCAAGCTACTAATGGGGCAGGAGATAAATCAGAAGTCATGACAGTGCCATTCTCAATGATTGTGCTGTTTAAGGAGCAACCACACCCTCCTGAGGCATAATGAATCAACCAGAGAGAAGAAAGGGACCTCTGGAGAGAAAGAATCCCATAGAAACAAACAAGCAAACAAAGAAACCCCAAACAGTAACACAAACCTAACAAAAGGAAAATAAAACCACCACCATCATTACCACCACCATCATCACCACCATCACTAACACCATCACCAACACCATCATCACCACCATCACCACCACCATCACCACCACCATCACCAACACCATCACCACCATCACCACCACCATCACCACCACCATCACCACCATCACCACCATCACCAACACCATCATCACCACCACCACCACTACCACCTCTTGTTAAGAATAAAAGGGGGAGGGCATTAGAAAAGATTTCTGCTATGTACACAGCTGTCTTGGCAAATATTTTTGAAGAAATTAGGGGAAGAACTCACTATTTAGAAATTCGGATGTCACTGTGGAAGATTTAAAAATGAACAGATATAGCTATCCTATTAGTACCAGCCAAAGGAGAAAATCTTGGAGATGCCCTTTGGGAAGGGAGCTGGGAGAAAAATCTACTATTCATTTTGAATGCATGTTTTTAAAACTGAACTTATCAATAGAATTTACTGCTAGGACGAAGTAGGAGAAATGGCCAGGCCTTAAGAATTTGGACTCATGGGAAACAGAAATGATACATTAGCATCCCTTACTTAAGTTAAATTTTACCTTTTAAATAATATCCTGTAACATATAAGGATTATACATTTGTAACAACACTAATATCACTGCTATAACTACATATAGACTTAATTCCAAGCAATATTGCCAAGTAACCTCCGACTGAATTTAGGCTGCTGTAAAGCCTTTCATCCTCTGAAAGCAAGGAATACCTGCCAAGAGAGCTTAAAGACCAGTGAATACAGTTCTCAAGGCTTGAAGCAAATGAGGTCATTATGAAAATTCAGATGCAGATGAAAGAATGCAAATACAAAATAATACCTATAGTGTGTCCCAGCAAAACTGAATAAAGAAACATTTACAATGGGCTTAGGATAAATTAAAATAATGACTTCCAACACCTTATCCTTTCTTTAATTTTTATTTTTACCTGAAGTCGTATTTGCAGCATCTTGGCTCCTGCCATGACGATCTGCTTCTAGCCATTGGTACAAAACTACATAATGTAACAGAAACAAAAAGGCTTTATGAACAAAGAAACAAAAACAAATGAACAAAGAAGCAAAAATGACTTTGAAGAATGGAAAATGAGAATAAAAATTTAAACAAAAGTAATTAAATATGAGACTTAACATCAACAGAGTATAGTTAACACACAACGGAAAGTAGCTTCTAAACTATTAGCAATAAGAAAGTAAAGAGAGTAGGTCGTTATATTTTAATGTAATAAGTGAAATGCCATTTAAACACCTATGAACAGTTATTTGTATGAGAAAAACACAAATACTCTTTTTTTATTGTTATAGGATGTGGGCACTTGCAGGAAAGGGGGAGAGAGAGAGAGAGAGAGAGAGAAAGGAAGGAAGGAGATAACCCCCCTGCGGGGAGGCGATGACCACACCACAATCCCTCCTCTACGCTCCTCCTGGGATTTGGAGTTTGCTCACACACTTGCCCAGCATCTTTTCAAGCTGCCAACTCCAGGATTCAAACTATGGGATCCAGCACCTTAATCATCATGCCACCTGCTGGCCCAAAGCACAAATATTCTTGTTATTTTTTTAAGAATGATTTAATTTTAGGACCATCAGTTGGTGTAATGGCTATGTCGCTGGACTCCCACGTAGTTGACCATGGTTCGAGTCCTGGAACTCGTGGCTTAAACTCACGCCAGACATGTGCGCGCCCAAGATCCCAAGAGGAGAATGGAGGAGAAGGGACTGTGGTGTGGTCATCCCCTCTGGGGAGGGTGTGTGTGTGATATCTCGCTTTTTGCCTCTCTGTGTCTTTCTGGCAAGCACATGTGCCCTATAGCAAAAAAAAAAAAAAAAAAAAAGATTTAATTTCATGTATTATTATTATTTTCAAATTTGCTATAAGGCACGTGCACTCACCAGAGAGAAACACAAAGAGAGAGAGAAGGAGAGAAAGCAAGCAAGCCAGCAAGCTGCCAGGTCTGGGACTTGAACCATGGTGGACCATATGGGAGTCCAATGCCTTAACCACTATATTTCCTGCTGGGCCCTAAGCAAAAGTATTCTTAATGCTAATCTGAAGAGAAATCTCTGGAGAAAGTTAGTATTTCCATAGTCAGATATTAAAAAGTATAAAATAAGACAAAATGATCACCTTCAAAATGATATCTCAACCACTGCATACCTATTAAAATGGCTTATGTCCCAAACACTGATTATATTAAATGCTGTCAAGGATATGAGAGACAGAACTCCTATTTATTTATTTTCTTTTTTTTTTTCTCTTTACAAATTATTTTATTGAGACCAGCAGATGGCGTAATGGCTATGTCACCGGACTCCCATGTAGCCATGGTTCGAGTCCCAGACCCAGTGGCTTAAACTCACGCCTGGTGTGTGTGCATGCATGCCCAAGATCCCGAGAGGAGAATGGAGGAGAAGGGATTGCAGCGTGGCCACCCTCCCTGGGGAGTGATTTCTCACTTTCTGTCTCTGTCTGTCTCTGTCTTCCTGGTGAGCACATGCACACTATAGCAAAAACCTCCCCCACCAAAAAAAAGAATTATTTTATTTAACTTTATTCATTCATTCATTCATTCATTCATTTAGAGGAACAGAGCAAGAGAGAGGGAAAGTGAGAAAGCAAGCTGCAAGGTCTAGAACTCAAACAGTGATTGGCCACATGGAAGTCCAATGCCCTCAGCCACTGTGCAACCTGCAGGCCCCAGAACTCTTATTTACTGCTGGAGGGAATGCAGAATGGTATAGCCATTTGAGAAGACAACTTGTCAATTTCTTAAAAGGTCAAGCCACAGTCCTATCATATAATCCTACAGTCCCAGTCTATTCATGAGAAAAACATGAAATCAATTTCAGGAGGAGCCACCTACAATACATCTGATAAGTACATATCAAAACTGTCAAAGGCATCAAAAACAACAGAAGTCTAGGAAATGGTCATAGCTAAGAGGAGCCCAGGGGACGTGACAATTGACTGCACTGAAATAGCATATTCAATGGGATCCTCTGACAGAATACAAACATTGGGTAAAAACTAAGGCAATCTGAATAAACACCTCAGCTTACAATGCATCAATATTGATTCATTAACTGTAACAAATGTACCATACTATGTAGTATATTAATGGCACACAGGTGCGTGCGCTCGCGCTCACTCTCTCTCTCTCTCTCTCTCTCTCTCTCACACACACACACACACACACACACACACCTGGCATGATTTTCAAGCTGCCAGGTCTAGGACTCGATCTGCATAGCCAGCTGTGTGGGATCCATCTGCCTTAACCTCCATGCCGGCTGCTAGCCCATTTATCTAATACTTTTTTAAAGTTTTAAAACTGTATTTCTTCCATGAACAGAGAGAGAAAGAGACAGACAGTACCCCAAATAGGATCTTGACTCCACAATCCACCCCCAGCCTCAATCATTCCCAGACCATGAGCACATGTGCACCCAGCAGATTCAGGAAGTGAACTCGAAACCTTCCTATGTAGACCAAGCCTCCTAGAATAATATTGTTTCCCCTCTGTGACAGCTAGGAGTAAGCATTTAGATATACGAGTTTAAAATTCAGGGGGAAAGTGAAAAATCTGGGATCAATATAAAATAGATGGTATTTAATGCCACAACTACTAGGTTGGAAAAGTCATGATGTATTTTTCTATGTTTTATGTCATGTCTTTCCCAAGGACCCAACAGACAAGATCATCTAGGAAGTGAATGTAGATGAAGTTAGGAAGATAGGAGAGCCATGGAGGGAACTCACGGAAACGTTGAGAGGTGGAGAAGAAGATGAGACACCAGCAAAAAGATCAGTGAGAAAAAAGAAGCTAGCGGGGTAAGAAAAAATTCTGCGGCGTGTGGCATCATGGGAGTCAAGCAGAGAAAATGCCACAGAGAGACCGGGCCACACAGGAGTCTCTGGTGACCTTCACAAGAGGGATGTCTGTGGAATGGCAGGAGTGAAAGCCTGCCTGAAGAGTGGAAAGAGAAGTAGAGGCATCGAAAATAAGTAACTGTTCTGAAGAGCTTTGCTGTAAAGATGAAAAGAAAAAATGGGGACCAGCGGATGGCATGGTGGTTACATCACTGGAATCCCATATAGTCAACTGCAGTTCAAATCCTGGACCCGGTGGCTTAAAACTCACGCCAGTCGCATGTGCATGCCTGCCCAAAATCCCGAGAGGAGAATGGAAGAGGACTGTGGTGTGGTCATCCCTCAGGGGGTGACTCCTGTCTCTCTGTCTCATTCTGTCTCTCCAGTGATCACAAGCACCCTATAGTAAACATCTTTCTCTACAAAAAAAAAAAGAAAAAATGGTTAATACTGAAGGAACATATGTGGTTACGGGAAGGGTTTTTATTTTGGTTTTAAAGATATGCAATGAAGCTGGCCTAATATCCTAACAGTTGAGGGAGCTGATCCCACATGGTCAACTAATCAGTTCAAATCTCAGCCCTGGTTGCTTGAAAAATATCCCAGGCGTGTTTGAGTAAGTGCCAAAAATCCTGACAGGATGGAGAAATTGAGGAGACAGGATTGTGGTATGACCACTTCCCAGTAGGGTGTACTTTCTCCTTCTTCCTCCATCTGGTGAGCACACACACCCTCTGGCAATTAAAAAAAATAGAGCGAGGCACCGTGAACTCACGCACGGAACATTACAGTGTGCCTACGCTGGGCCAGGCAGTGACTGACTCTTGGGGGATGACTGTACAGCACGGACAAAGCCCTGAGTTCGCTCACCCTCCTAGCTGGCCTTCCGAACTCTCCCACGCAGAGAGCTGGCTGCTCACTCTGCACTGCAGGTGCTGATCCCTGCTGTACTGCTCAGGTACCGCGCTTCTGTCCCCAGCACACAACTCTCCCCCTTTGTCCTTGAAGGCCTTTGCACATGACCCTGACATTCTCTCTACTGGATCTTTTCTCCCTACAGTACTCCTGAAACAGCCCCAGAGTATTCCCCAGTGAGCTTAGGACCCGTGCACAACGATCCCTAGGTCTGTACCTGGGACAGGGTCTGCAAGTCCTCACTAGCATCCGTGCTCTCTCCTTCCCAGCGCCCTTGCTTCTGGACAGGGGCCAGATACCCAGTTCTTGCCAGTGAAATGTGAGCTTGAGTGATGTGTGTCACTCCAGCGTGAGCCACAAGATCTGCCTTTCCTCTGTCATCCATCAGCTAAATGCAAATGCAAATGAGGACTCAGAAAACGGGCTGGTCACAAGATAGAAGCAAGCTGGGTCAACACACGCTCTGCAAAGGAGAGTCTCTGCACCCTTGGCCTACATTAGACTCCACGTGAGTGAGAAATAAACTCTTATTATCTCATCATTGATAGTGTGGGGCTGTTATTACAGCAATGACCTATTTATGTGTTTATTAGCCCGAGTTATTATTTTTTATTATAGTTTATTTATTTCTTCCATGAATGAGAGAGATGGAGACAGAGAGATCCGCTGCTCCCCAAAATGGGGATCTTGATACCACGACCACTCCCTGCATTAGCCAGCCCTGGCCCACGGGCATAAACCTGTCTCATGTACTCAGGAAGGTCTTTGGTAAAACTAAAAAACAGAAACAGAAAATCTTAACAAAGAGTCGAGGGTCTAGAATTCTCTGAGAGTGAGGAATAAAAACAGTCTTTGCTTCTGACCCACGTTGGTCACACCACCTCCTTCCTTCTTCATTTCTTCACCGACCCAGTGGGCATTCAGGAGTGTGGTGTTTAGTTCTCACGTATTCATTTGTATGTTTTCCACAGTTCCTCTTATTGTTGATTTCTAGTTTTATTCCGTTGTGGTCAGAAAAGATACTTGATATAATTTTTATTTTTAAAAAAAGTGTTGAGACTTGTATTGTGGCCTAACGCATGCTCTATCTTGAAGAATGTTTCATGTGCTGATAAGCACTACCATTTTTCTAATAAAGTATGACACAAGCAGAGGCAGGTCGTGTTGTAGTGGTAACGCTCTGGGTCCCCCAATGGGAAAGGTCTTAGGTTTGTGCCCCAGGCTGTCCCTAAACATGCTGGCTGGGTGTGTGTGTGTGTGTGTGTGTGTGCACGTGTGCATGCAAACCTATGATCTGGGCCAGCTGACAATGGGGTGATTCATGGCATGAAGACCCTGTTGAAGGTGTCTTTCTGTCTCTTGCAGAAATAAACTTTAAAAAAAAAGGGGGGGGGAATTTAATTAAAAAATATTTACTAGAGGGCGTGTGTACTTGTGGTGGGGATAAGGGAAGAGCAAGGAAAACTGAGGAAACAGCCCCCACGGGAGATGGTCATACTACAGTCTGTTCTCCCTTCTCCTTTCAGGGTTCTGGGCTTGCATGCACAAGCACCAGGGGTGTTTCTGGAGCTCCAGGGTGCAGGACTCGAGTCATACAGTCAGCCAATGTGGAATCCAGCCTCCTTGAAAGCCACACTAACAGCTCTTCTCCCAAAAAAGTTAAAAAAAAAAAAAAAAAAAAAAACTTTTTAAAAGCCTCTGGGGCCAGCTCTGTGGCACAGTGGGAATGTGCTGTTCCTAAGAGGCTGGATCCCACATGGTGACTGAGGTTTGAATCCCCAGTCAGTCTGAAACACATCAAGCATGTGCACGGGTAGCGAGGATCTAACGAGCTATACGACAAGTGGAAGGGTTTGTGGTGGGACCAGACACTACGGAAGGTGTTTCTCTCCCTCTTTCTCATTCTAATGTGCACATGCATGCACTGTATTGCGAATAAAAGAAAAAAAAACTAAAAAAGTCACTGAAGTATTGTAACTGAATCTCTAAGAGAGAAGGGTTCATAATTTTTAAATTAATACTCGAAACAAGTGCAATGTTTTCACCAGTGCTTAGTCAATTGTTTTTGCTCTTCTTCTTTTTAATTGTCGGAAGGCACACTCAGAAAGAGAGGAGGCACCCCCTCATGGAGTACAGTCGCTCTGTAATCCTTTTTCATCTCCCTCCACCCCGGCAGGATTTGAGGCATGCATGCACACTGACCTGGCACGTACACCAAGATGCTGGTGTCGGGACTCACCATGACTGGCCATGTGGGATCTGGCTCCTGATGCACTGTGCTAAGTCACTGTGCTATGAGGCTACACTGGTTTTTGTGATCCTGAAAACTATTTAAATAATATCTAAATAATAATTGTAGCCAAGAAAACAAGGTTCTAGCTCTGGTTGAAAACACTTGCCAACCAGCCTGAGGCAAATCACAATTACTTTAAACAAAAGTTTTCTCATATAAAAAAATACAGATTGTTTTATTTCTGTAACAACGCATTATTGTTATTCAGTATCTACTGTCTATGAGAATCACTTATACATTGTATTTCTGGGAAAACATATTAATATAATTACTCATGCTCTATTTTATCATAGACTATAAGGTAAATCTTCCCCTACTGCTAAATAACATATTCTCTGTCAAAGAGACATCAAGAGAGCTGTGCTTTGCTTTGAGAACCAAAATAAATTTCCTCCTATTAAAATATTTATAGCTGACAAGTAACCCAGAGCTAGAGTTTTAAGATAACTTAGACCGAAACTCTTCTGCATGATTCAAAGGAGCGGGAGCGGAGCAGCCACCCGCTCGGAGCCACTACTTCCATTCACTCCTGTCTGTGGCCAATAACCACCTCCCAAACGTACAAGTCATTAAGTGTGGCTTATACAGTGATATTAGCTGACTTATATAAGAATACCACTTTCTTCATTTTACCCTCTTCCGAGGAGAAAAAAGGCTTACCTAAGAAATCAGTAACATTCTCTAAAGGAAAGACGTTAAGTAGCAAGGAGGGAGGGGGAGCACATTTATTTTCCTAATGTAAACTATTCCATTATATCCTGCTTCACCATCTATGAAAATGTTTTTTTAAGAATTATTTAATCTTATTTATTCATTTACTTATTTTAATTTGACCAGAGAGAGACAGAGAGAAAGTAAGAAAAGTAATCCACCAGGTCCAGGATTCAAACTGTGGTTGGCCTTGCAGGAATTCCAGCGCCTTAACCACCAAGCTACCTGCTGGCCCCTCTATGAAAATATTCTAACAGGAGCAAATAGGGGGGCAAATGCTAGTAAAAGATACACTGAGAAAGAAAATTTTCCTGGAAGAATCAGAAACACTCCTACTCTAACAATCATTTAATTAATTGAAGATGTTGGTAACAGATAACAATCAATTAATTAATTGAAGATGTTGGTAACAGAATGGCTCAGCTGATGGGATTTTTGCTAAGGAGTAATGGTCTCTGTGTTTCTCTACGCATCCGAAAGCCTTCAAGCCCCACCCCCCAAACACACACACCCCCGCCCATGTTAGCTACAATGCGAGACTCAGGTCTTAAAATGGTGCGGAGAAATCACACGGACCTGTGCAATCACGCTTCACTACAGCAGGAGGGTAAAAAGTGACCCACAGGAGTAACTGGGACGTTCCCATTTTCACAAGAGACTATGGTTTGCAAAGCTACTGTCTAACATATTTTTAAAAGAAAAAGTCACATCATCTTTGATGAGGAAAGAAGTTATCTAAAACCACTTTCTAAAATTTTCCAAATTAAGCTAAACCACCAAGAAGGCTAAGAATGGGGTGAGCAGGATTTTCCTCTTCAGTATGAGAGGAAGTCTTCCTTCCTCCTCCCGTAAGAAAAACGCTAAGGAAAATCCTCAAGATGATCTCCAGCTCTGAGCTCCAACTCCAGGTCCTCACTATCGACTGAGAATCTGCACTTGGCTGTTTCCTGGCAGTCTGAAGTTTAATGCTTCCAAATCTGAGCTCATCTTTGCCCTCAAAGCATTTCCTCTGTTAACAGTGCCACAATTCGTGTACCAATAGTTTTTCAGTGTGACCATCTACTTATTCAACCTTGGAACAAGGTTAATTTAATATAAAAACAATTCTATCAAGAAGGGATTCAGGGGCCAGCAGGTCACATGGTGGTTAAGGGCAGTGGACTCCCACGTGGCCAAACACGGTTCGAGTCCCAGACTTCACAGCTTGCTTTCTCACCACCACCCCCAACCCTGTCCCTCTGTCCCTCTCTGATCAAAATGAAAAGTAAATAAATAAAGTTAAATAAAATAATTCTTAAGAAAAAAAAAGAGAGAAAGGATTCACATTCAGTATTCCTGCTCTAGTGCTTAAGAATATGATCTGGTACATAGGTGGTATATACAACTGACTGGGAATCAATCCAGATCCTGATTTCAGATTCTAGATTTCCCTCTTTCCTCATTGGGTTCCCCCTTCTTTTCTTTCCATATTATAATGGTCACTAAATTTGCTAATTAGAACTTCCTGGTATCTCTCCGTATCGGCCCTCCCTTTCCATTTGCACTAGTAATTTGTTTTAATTCTGATCTTCAAGCCAGGCTTAGAATACTGTCGTCCTGACTAATTGCTGTATACTCTCATCGTCTAATTACTTTATTTCATCCAGTCATTCACTTACTCTAGTATTTACAGTGGTCTATAAGCCCGGGCTGTATTTTAGGCTCCAGAGATATAGAAAAACAGTAGACTGTATCTTCTAACGAGGGCTGAAACAGTACCTCTTGTTCGTCATGTTCTTCTCTAACTCCATCAGGAGGTAGAATTGATGTCTTCTCCCTTAAATATGGAAGGACCATTATGACTGCCTAAAATAGAAGAGTGCAGTAGAAATGATGCAATGTGGCTTCCAAGAATAAGCCATGAAACATGCCACGCATTTCCACCTTTTCTCCTGGCACACATGCCCATCAAGTCTAGCTACAAAGGCTGGAGAAAGCCCAAGCAGCCCCACCCCACCTCGGCACAGTCCTAGCTGAGCTCTCAGCCAGCTGTGACAACAGGCCGCCACAGAAGTGAGCCATCTCCAAAGTACTGTCTCCTAGCCTCCAGTCAAGACACATAGCTGACACTGCATTAAGCAGAGATAAACTGTCCCCACCACTCTCTGCCCAAGTTTCAGATCTCCCTACGACAAAACAAACAAAAAACCCCACCATTTACTTTCTCATATTTTCCGTGAGTCAGGAGTTGGGGCACAGCATGGTTCAGCCAGTTTCTTTGCTCCAGGTCTGAAAATACTAAAATCATCCTATGGCAGGGCTGTTTCCTTTCGGAGGCTCTGGGAAAGAATCTTCTTGGAAGGAATCCACTTCCAAACTCATCAAAGTCACGGGAGAATTCACTTCCTTGGGGCTGTGAGCATAAGGTCTCCGTTTCCTTGTTGGCTGCCTCAGCGGCCCTGAGCACCGAAGGCCTCTCTGGTCCCTGCAGGGTCCTTGCACATCGAGACCACACTCCCCTCATGCGTGGATCTCTGACATCCTTCCCGCTGTATCTCTTCTGCTTCCTCTTCTGCTTTTTAGGACTCATGAGATGACACTGGGCACACTTGGGCAATCCAGACGCCGCTCCCTATTTTACGGCCAGCTAATCAATAACCTTAGTTCCATCTGTCCAGTCCCCCACAGCAGAATTGAGACTGCTGTTTGAGTGAATAACCAGGACACAAGGAGACTTTTAGAACTCTGTCTGCTACACCCCTCCCTCCTTGTCTGCCTGCTGGGCCCCTCCACATCCTAAAGACACAACCTTTGGGAAACCTCTTGACATGTACTTCTCTTCCGTAACATTCTAAAATCTAAAAATTAGAGCAAATAATTTTTATAATCCAACACTTAAAAAACAATTTTTTTAAAGAATCCCCCAATAGGGCATGGTGATGCCACAATCTCTCCTCCTGTTTGTCCATCCTGTCAGGATTTGGGGCATGCATGCACACATGCCTGACAAGTTTAAGCCTCTGGGTGCAGATTCAAACCATGGTAGGCCATGTGGCTGTCCCTAGCTTAATTTTTAAGTTCGTTTGTTTCCTTCATATGAGAGGAGGTGAGGAGAGAGAGAGAGAAGGAAGGGAGGGGGTATTTGGGGCAAAGTTCTCATGCTGTGACCCTCCTTCAGCAAGCCAGGATCACAGGTGCGGTCGCGAGCACACCTGGCATGTTCAGTTAGACCAGAACCCGAACCCAGAACCTTTCCATGTAGCCTCCAACATCGCAAAGCACGTGTGTGCACCTTTGTGGGCTGGGATCCATGAGCTTGATTTTTAAATAAACCATCGCTGTACAAATACTGTACTAATACACACTGGTAGGTGCTTTTTTGTTTGTTTGTTTGTTTGTTTTGGAGGTTTTCACTATAGGGCGCATGCACTCGCCAGACAGAGAGAGAGACAGAGAGACAGAAAGCGAGAAATCACCCCACAGGGGGGGATGGTCACGCCGCAATCCCTTCTCCTCCATTCTCCTCTCGGGATCTTGGGCACGCATGCACACGCGCCCGGTGTGAGTTTTAAGCCACCGGGTCCGGGACGTGAACCACAGTCGACTACGTGGGAGTCCAGCAACATAGCCATTACGCTAACTGCTGGTTCCCTGGTAGGTGCTTTAAAGTAAAAGTCTCCCTTGACAGTGAGGTTCAGAACAAAGCATTTCTCTTCTTGGCTGCCATATAATGCCTTTTTTTTTTTTTTTAAGAACTATGATGTTCTTGGAACTCGGTTCTCATCATTGCTATGCATATTGCTATCTACTTACCAGACTGTACTAAAGCTGTTAAATTCTACTTCCCCTTTTAGACTTTAAGCTTTTATTCATCCTTACATCCTCAACATCTCCTTAATACTGTGCCTGGCGCACGACATGTGTTCAATAATGTTTTCTGAATGGCCACATAAATGGATACTGTACTCTTAGGTCTGAATTGTGTACTCCAGAATTTCTAAGACTTAAAGAACTGGGGGCTGTGAAAATGACTCATACCAAAACCTTGACTATGTAAACCGAAATGGAACTGAAGAAAGAAAAATAACTCATTTTCTTTAGGACATTTTATTTCTGTCATAATTTTATTAAGTTGTAAATTAAAATCTGAGATCTAGGAGCCAGCAGGCGGCATGGTGCTTAAGGCACTGGATTTCCCCCGTGGCCAATTATGGTTCAAGTCTCAGACCTGGCAGCTTGCTTTCTCGCTCTCTGTCTCCCCCACACCACATCCCCTGGTCTGGTGAGCACACATACCCTATAACAAATTAAAACAGTAATAATAAGTAAAATTGAAGAATAACTTTTTTAATCTGAGATTTACCTTATTTCAAACATAGGGGTATAATTTATTGTGCCTTATGTCTACCATGGTGTAACGGATCAGAATTTTATTATTGTTTTGGGAACCAGCAGTTAGCGTAATGGCTATGTCGCTGGACTCCCACATAGTCGACCGCGGTTCGTGTCCTGGACCCGGTGGCTTAAAACTCACGCCGGGCGCGTGTGCGTGCGTGCCCAGGATCCTGAGAGGAGAATGGAGGAGAAGGGATTGCGGCGTGACCATCCCCCCTGGGGGGTGATTTCTCGCTTTCTGTCTCTATGTCTCTCTCTGTCTGGCGAGCGCACGCGCCCTACAATGAAAATCTCTCAAAAAAAAAAAAAAAGAATTTTATTATTGTTTTGAATCTTTGGTTTCATGGCTTTTAAAAAGTAAACTTAGTCTTTACAATAAAGTTAGGAAAACTGGGAAGACAGTACAGAGAATTTTCTTGTATTCTGCAACAAGTTTCCTCTACTAGGAACATTTTAATTTTTTTTTTAGTTTTTATTTGATTATTTTTTAAAATTTTTTGCTATAGGATAAGTTCACTCATGAGAGAGAGACAGAGACAGAGGGAGAGAAGGAAAGTGAGAAATCTCCCCCCAAAGGGAATGACCACACTGCAATACCATCTCCTCCATTCTCCTCTTGGGACTTTTGGCATGCACACACACAGACACCTGGCATGTTTTTCAAGCTGCTGGGTCCGAGACTCGAACCATGAAGTCTGCCAGATGGGATCCACTGCCTTAACAACCATACCACCTGCTGGCCCTATTAGCAATCTTTTACATTAGTACAGTACATTTACTACAATTAATGAGCTAGTATTTCTATGTTATTATTAACAAATGTCTAAACGTAATCCAAATTCTTTTAATTTTTAACCTAAGGTTCTTTTTCTGTTCTAGAATATCATCTACACATTACATGTGGCTGTCATGTCTCCCTCCTAAGTTTCCCTTAGCTGTGACTGCTTCAGAGGACACTGACAGTTTCGAAGACCTCTGGGAAGCAAGACCACAGAGGTAAAGTGCCATTTTCAACACATTACCCAAGTACCAACTACCATCGTGACCTCTCGCTACTGATGCTAACCTTGCTCACCTTGCTAATGCAGAGTCTGTCGAGTTTTACCACGGCAAAGTCTTTCTTTTTCTTCCTTTCTCTTCCTTTCTTTCTTTTTTAATTCAACCACAGAGAAATAGAGAGACAGAAAGTGAGAAGGCAAGCCACCAGGTCCAGGACTTGAACTGTGGTTGGCTATGTAGGAGTCTAGAGCCTTAACCACCATGCCACCTGCTAAGTCATTCTTCTATTTTCTCCCCTTTTCTTTCTTTTTTTTTTTTTTTTTTTTTTTTTTTTAATAGTTTTTTTATTAACGGTGCGAATAGCTCACCAGAAAGACCCAGAGAGACAGAAAGTGAGAAATCAACCCCCAGGGGGATGGCCTGGCTACAATCCCTTCTCCTCCATTCTCCTCTCGGGATCTTGGGCATGCACGCACATGTGCCCGGCCTGAGTTTTAAGCCACCGGCTCCGGGATGCGACCCGCCATCGACTACATGGGAGTCCAGCGACATAGCCATTATGCCAACTGCTGGTCCCCTATTTTCTCCCCTTTTCTATACTATAACCTTTAGAAGGAAGTCACCATACCCAGTCCATACTCGAAGAATGGGAAGTTACACTCCACCTCCTTGAGAAAAGAGGATCTACAGAAATTATGTGGGACTCTTCTACAAGGGAAATTTGCCTCTTCTGCCCTGTGTGTTAATTGATATGACAACTGATTTACACCAGTATGGAGTCATGGGTATTTTATATTTGGTTACCTAAACTGTTCTAGGTTGGGCCATTAGGAACCCTTCTATTTGGTTACTGTGCCCCCTTTGACACACCCCCATCTACATGTTACATGTTTTTTGTTGTTGTTGTTGTTTGTTTGTTTGTTTTTGAGCATTTCCTCAATCTCAAAACATGCTCCAGACTCACTGTACATATTTCTGCCCCATTTCTAAAAATCAGCTATTTGTCCATGGATCTCTCATTCCTTTAGCTGGTGAATCATATTATTGTAAAAGTGAAGATCTGGGGCTAGTAGATGGTGGTAGTTAAGGCATTGGATCCTACATGGCCAACTCTAGTTCAAGTCCCAGACTTGGTGGCTTGGTGAAAATCATGCTGGGCGCATGTGCATGCATGTCTAAAATCTCAGGAGGAGACTGGAAAGGATTGAGGCATGACCATCCCTTGGGGCAGGAAGGGGGGGGCTCTTTTCATCTTTTTTTTTTTAATTTTTGAAATTATTTATCTGGGACCAGCAAATGGCATAATGGTTACGTTGTTCCCATGTAGTCAACCGTGGTTTGAGTCCCAGACCTGGTGGCCTAAAACTCACCCCAGGCATTTGTGCATGCATGCCCAAAATCCTGAGAGGAGAACAGAGGAGAAGAGATTGCAGTGTGGCCATCTTCCTGGGGGGCGACTTCTCACTTTCCCTCTCTGGCTCTCCAGCGAGTGCACATGCCCCATAGCAAAAATCTCCCTCCCCTCCAAAAAAAAGAATTATTTAATTTTATGTATTATTATTTTTAAATTTACTATAGAGCTCGTGTACTCACCAGACACATACATATACACACACACACACACACACACACACACACACACAGTGAGAGAAAGAAAGTGAAAAAGCAAACCACTAGGTCTGGGACTCAAACCATGGTCAGCCATGTGGGAGTCCAGCACCCTTAACCATCATGCTACCGTTTGGCCTACTCTTTTAACTTTTTATAAAATAATTATTTAACTTTATTTATTTTTAAAAGAATTATTTACTTGATTTTATGTATTTATTTTATTTTAATTTGACCAGAAAGGGCAGAGCACAAGAGAGAGAGACAGCTAGCCACCAGGTTTGGGACTCAAACTGTGGTCAGCCATGTGGGAGTCCAGCACCCTTAACCATCATGCTACCGTTTGGCCTACTCTTTTAACTTTTTATAAAATAATTATTTAACTTTATTTATTTGTTTATTTTAATTTGACCAGAAAGGGCAGAGCACAAGAGAGAGAGACAGCTAGCCACCAGGTTTGGGACTCAAACTGTGGTCAGCCATGTGGGAGTCCAGCACCCTTCACCATGCCACCTGCCAGCCCCAGTCACATGTGTTTAATCAGAATTTGTCCAAAAAGACTAGGAAAAAACCTTACATAGAACTACA